AGATGAGAAGGGAACTCTCTACTACCAAAATGAAAATAAAAAATAATAATTCAGGACTTCTATGAAAATTTGTATGATCAAGAGAAAATTTCAGAAGATAAAATAAAACAATATTTGCAAAAAGCTGAATTACCTAAAGTGTCCAAAACAGTGAACGCTATGTTAAATGAAAGGATAACAATGATGGAATTAACACAGACCGATCAACAGACAATAATAAAAAACCAGGACCAGATGGGTTACCAGCAGAATTCTATAAGTATTTACAAGACACACTAGGACCGTCAATGTTGGAAGTTTATAATGAAGTATTGTTAGAAGCTAAGATACCAAATACCTGGACAGAAGCAAATGTTACTCTTACACTGAAAGAAGATTCAGACTTAATACAGATCAAAAATTATATGCCAATATCATTAAATGTTGATTACAAAATATATGCCTCGATAATAGCAGATTAAAAAGATTTTTGAATGAATTTATACATTCAGTTCAGAATGGATTCAAATTAAAGACAAATTAAAAATAATAGAGTTATCTTGAACACATTGGAGTATTATGAAGCACATTCTGAAAAACAAATGGCGCTGATCTTAGGTGCTCAGAAAGCATTTGACAATGTAAATTGGCAATTTATGTTATTACAATTAAAATATATGTACTTTGGTGAAAGATTTGCTAATATGATTAAGGCAATATATTCCAAACAGACTGCAAAGGTGATTGTAAATGGGGACATGACAGAGAACTTCAATATAAAAAAAGGCACAAGACAAGTATGCCCATTGTCCCCTCTACTATTTATATTGATGTTGGAAGTGCTAAATAAAAACATTAGACAAGATATAGAAATAAAAGGTATGGAAATTTTTTAAAAGTGTGCAAGTTTTGGATGCAAACTGGAAAAGATGCTGTGGAATGCAGAGAGGTTGCATTGTCCCTGCAAGAGAGGTAGCTGCTTTCATGAGCTTGGAACCAGAGTAGCTTGTTGAAATATAGCTGCTTTAATGAGCATTAAAGCCGTGTTGGATGTTGCGATGTAGCTTTTTTTTAAAGGCTGCAAACCAGTGCTGGGTGGTTAAGATATAGCTCAGTGATGGCAAACCTTTTTCACCTTGGGTGCCAAAAGCAGGTGTTGAGATGTGGGTGCTTTAATGAGCATTAAAGCCGTGTTGGATGTTGAGATGTAACTGTTTAACAAGCTGCAAACCACTGCTGGGTTGTTAAGATATAGGTGCTTTAATGAGCTTGGAACCAGCGTAGCTTGTTGAGATATAGCTGCTTTAATGAGCATTAAAGCCGTGTTGGATGTTGAGATGTAGTTGTTTTAAAAAAACCTGCAAACCAGTGCTAGGTGGTTAAGATATGGCTGTTTTAATGAGCTTGGAACCAGTGCTGGGTTGAGAAGTAGCCACTTTAATGAACTGCAAGCCAGTGCTGGGCTGTTGTGATGTAGCCACTTTAATGAACTTCCAGTCACTGTCAGCTTGTTGAGATGTAGCTGTTTTCATAGGCTTCAAATTGGTGCTGGGCTATTGATATGTAGGTGCTTCAATGAGCTTGGAACCAGCACAGGTTGCTGAAGCAGTGCTGGATGTCACTAAATGAACTGTTGTAAGCTGAGGACTACCATGACTTCTCATTTAGTATTCCTTGAGGGACCAGAGAATGGAATAAAAACAGATTTTGTGCTACCTCAACACTGCCTAAACCAGTTGTCAACTTGTTGGTCCTTCCGAGGACCGTTTGTGGTCCACACAACTTGGCATGCAGTGGCTTTCTTCAAACCGAGCGACTTGAAAAATGCATGGACTCCAATTCCCATCATTCCCCTGCCGGCATGGGGAATTCTGGGAGATGAAGTCCTGATGTGCCGAGGTGGCGCAGTGGTTAGGGTGCAGTACTGCAGGCCACTTCAGCTGACTGTTATCTGCAGTTCGGCGGTTCAAATCTCACCAGGCTCAAGGTTGACTCAGCCTTCCATCCTTCCGAGGTGGGTGAAATGAGGACCCAGACTGTGGGGGCGATATGCTGACTCTGTAAACCGCTTAGAGAGGGCTGAAAGCCCTATGAAGCGGTATATAAGTCTAACTGCTATTGCTATTGCTATGTGCTGGTTGGACAATTCTGGGAACAGAACCCTGCACATTTTCCCGTTCCCACAGGCCAATCATCCGTTGTGGTGTTGTTTCATTTTGTGCAATTTATCAACACAAGGACTTCATGTCAATTTGTTTGAAAGTCTGTGGGACGGGCTGAGACCAAACATTTTGTATTTTTGGCTCAAATCTCCGAATCATTCCTAAAAAATTATCATCAACTTTTATCACTGATGATAAAAGCTTTCCACCCCCCAGGAAGGATGTAAACTTCACAAGTCTCAATCTTCGCTTTCAAAATTAAAGAATTAAAATCTGCTTTCCAAACAGTTCAAATAGTTCTCGACTTTCAACCATTTGTTTACCATTTGAAGTTACAGTGGCACTGAAAAAAGTGATTTGAGACTGGTCCTCACACTAATGACCAGTCCTCACACTAATGACCATTGCATTATCCCCACGATCACGTGATAGATATCTGGGCGCCTGGGGATGGCATATGTTTGACAGTTGCAAGGACCCAGGTCACATGATCACCATTTGCAACCTTCCCAGATGGCTTCAGCAAGCAAAGTGAATGGAGGTAGCTTGATTCATTTAATGACTGCATGATTCACTGAAGAACTGTGGCAAAAAAGGTAAAATCAGGTGTGACTCGCTTAACAACCAACTTTCTTAGCAATGGGAAATTCTAATCTGTGGGGACCTTGGTGCGCTCTAGCAGACGTTTCATGACCAAACTAGGTAACCTCACTGAAACAACTGACACCTTAATTTTCACACTTCGGACTGTTGCAGCATCCTCATGGTCACGAGGTCAGAATTCAGGCACTTTGCAACTGGCTTGTGTTTATGATTCCATTTTCTGACCAACTGACAAGCAAAGTCAGTGGGGGAAAGCCAGATTCGCTTAACGGCAGCATGAGTCACTTAACAATCGCACCGATTTTGGTCATCCTAGTTCTCCTGGACCTCTCAGTGGCTTTCGATACCATCGACCATGGTATCCTTCTGCGACGACTGCGGGAGATAGGGGTGGGCGGCACTGNACTCAGCCTTACATCCTTCCGAGGTGGGTGAAATGAGGACCCAGACTGTGGGGGCGATATGCTGACTCTGTAAACCGCTTAGAGAGGGCTGAAAGCCCTATGAAGCGGTATATAAGTCTAACTGCTACTACTGCTACTACCACTGTATTATGACCAGTGGTGTACTGAAGTTACTACCAGGTTGCTGATCATTAAAATTTTCTGGTGTTTGGCAAGCTGCTGAGAACCAAACTGAGCTATGATACCTGGCATGCTATTCAGTTGACAACACAGCAGTGGCACTGGAGTCATCAGTATCAGTGAGGCCTAGAAGTGTGTGGAAAAATGGGGTGGGAGGGGAACTGGTTGTTAAATATTCACCTGCACACCACTGACTGTGGCGATTCAAAATCAATCATCTCTACAAAAATTTAATTAAAATTAACATCTTACTCCGGAGAATGTAAATTTGAATACTTGATGGAAATAGTTTTGCCCATCGAAAACTGCCACAAGTACAGATCATGCATTCCATTATCATCACTCTAAAATGAGGACGAAATTTATTTCAACATCTTAGACCAGGGGTTCCCAGCCTTTTCTATACCCTGCACCCCTAGAATGCTTCTGATATATTCTCACCCCCTTACAAAAGTAAATCATATACACATATAATTATGCACATACACTATAATTTTGAAACTTCTAAACCAGTGATGGCTAACCTTTTTGTCGCTGTCTGCCAAAAGTGCACCCACGCAACACCGCACCCACGTACCTGCACCCATAATGCAACGCATACGCAGCTCCCTGCACCCTGTTTTGGGCCTGGAAGGCCTGCACCAACCTAGTAGCCAAAATGAGACACGGGGGTGCCACGCGAGGGCCCAAAATGCAATGCAAACGCCCCTGTGCATGCGCCCTCGTCCCGTGCATGTGCACTCATCCCTTGCCTGCGCCCCGGCTCCTGTGCATGTGCGGCAGAGAGCCAAAGACCAGCTGGCCAATAGGAGGCGTGTGTGCATGCACGGTGGAGCTCGGCTGGGGCGATGACTGGTGTGCCTGCAGTGAGGGCTCTGCATGCCACCTGTGGCACACGTGCCGTAAGTTTGCCATCAAGGTTCTTAACCCAAGTTTTTGCACCCCCTGGAATATTGTTTCACACCCGCAGGAAACCCGTCTTAGACATTAATTTTAAAAACCCTGTAAAACATATAATCCATTCAAAGGAACAATTTAACAGAAATCCATGCTATTCCTAAGCATGCCATACACATACAGAGTCATACACACAAACACTATTAGTGAATAATTTAAAAATATCATTTGTCTTACAAGAGTTGTTTAGAGGTTCAGATGAATGTGACATCTGAAACATCCTTAATTTGTATCTTCTTTCTGGAACTCCTAGATCCCATAACGTGTTCACTATTCTGATTTTTCCATTGATATCAATAAGCATTAAGGATGCTCAGTACCTGATTGGGAATGAGCTCATCAGAGCAAAAATGCTTCAGGCACCAGATGGTGGGTGCTTTGAAAGGCCAGGTTCATGAAAGCTGCAAGCTAACGTTGATATTTAAATTTTAATTAACTTGTTTGTTTCAGTAGTGTACAAAATGAAAGTGCGTATCAAATTCAACTAAAAAGAGAACATTTTTGCATTGGGAGATGGTGATTTTATGAGATTAGGATTTAAGGTGCATTTTATTTATAAAAAGACTTTTTTTTCTGAAGGCCTTTAGATTTTTGGCACTTTTGTTTTAAAAGATGGGATTTCCAAAGAGAGGAAATTAAAATATGGGGGCATATAGAGATATATAAATAAAACATACAGGTACACACATACTCTTTTTAATCATTTTGATCAAAGGTATTGGCATTCGAGAAGTTATATTAACCAATGGATGTCCTGGAGGTGAAACAAAGTGTATTGTTCGTGTTGAAGAATGCAGAGGACCAGCTGATTGTGGCTGTAAGTCATAATGCAATGATACATTCTAGTTAGCCTATAAGAATTCTATGGCTCCCTTCCATAATAGCATGCATTTATTATAAGGCTGGTTATTTATTTACTTAAACTTATAGGTCACATCAATCAAAATCAAAACTCTTGGCAGCTCTAACAATGTATAATAGTTAAAACTAAAGCAGCATTCCAAAACAGAAAAAAGAACAAATGGTAGTAGAATATCCACAGTGGCGAGAATAACACAACTAGTTAGCAAAAACAATACAGAATGCACAACAGGAAGCCAGATCACAAGCTATCCTTGTCTAGAACCTGCATGTAACCCTTGGGGAATAGCATCGTTGCCACCACAGGACTGGTCACCACAGTGCCATATGCCACTTACCTTCAGGTGGTGTGTACTCTTTCTGTTGACAGGCCTACCTGAGATTCATCCAACTCTTACCATGCTTCCATTCTTGAAATGGTTTTGGAGAATGCTCTTCTGCAGCTAGCCTCCCAAAACCACCTGAAAGCACACTTTGCGCTTGTGCAATTTTGGGAGACCTGGCAAGAACACAGCCCTCACTCTGACTTTCACAAGGTCTGAATACCCCATTAGCCTCTGCAGCCTCCAAAAATGGTGGAAGAATGAGGTGTGTTTTTGAGAATAGTTATCGGGTGTTGGTGAACATTCACGTATCACCAAAACCTTGTGGTGTGACACTATTGACATGCACAATCATAGCTTTGCCATCACTGTCTTTATAAATGACAAATAGCAACCTAAATTGCATTTGGATGTGGTCCTGTAATGTTTTAGATTGGAGGCACTTTTGTTAAAAAAAGTAAGAATAAGCTGAGCTGCATGATTTTTAAAACTATTTTAATTATAATTTCCAGAGCTTTAGATGGTTGGAATGAAAAAGGAGAAGCTAACCTCAAATTGAGCTAAATTCTTGGTGATTACATGGATGTATCCCAGGAGTAAAATTCAACAGGTTTTGATAGATTCTGGAGAACTGGTAGCAGAAATTTTGAGTAGTTCAGAGAACCGGCAAATCCCACCCCTGGCTGGCCCCAGAATGGGGTGGGAATGGGGATTTTACAGTATCCTTCCCCTGGAATGGGGAGGAATGGAGATTTTACAGTATCCTTCCCCTGGAGTGGGGAGGGAATAGAGATTTTGCAGTATCCTTTCACTGCCACGCCCACCAAGCCACGCCCACAGAACCGGTAGTAAAAAAAATTTGAATCCCACCACTGTTGAGGATGCTGGGAGTTGTGGTGGGACACACTTGGAGACCACAGACCTGGGGGGAAAGTGGCTCACTTAGGAACAACATCTGGCTGATCTTCACAGGAAGCTAAAAGGGGTCAGCCCCAGTGATTCTGTTTGGGAGGCTAGCCAAAAATCCACAAAAGAGTGGGGGGGGGCATATGAGGTTGGATCAAGAAACCCCAAAGACCCTTCCAAAAGAAATGAAAGGGCAAATTATTTCCATGCCTTTTATTTTTTGAGAAAAAACGGAGGGATGCCTCCTTGATGGTTGAAATCATGGTCAAAAAGACAAGCTCATCTTATTAAAAAAAAAAAAACTAACTTGTATCGGGAAGGGAGCCAGGAAGCAGATGAGGAAAGCAGGATGTTTGTTTGTTTGTTTACATTTTTATGCCTCCCCTCTCCCCCATCAGGTGAGTGTGGGCAGCTTGCAAAGAGACAAATAGAATTGAAATATTAAAACTGCATGAGTTAAAAATTTTAAGTGATATTAAAACCAGAAAAGGAAGACTGGGGGGAATGAGGTCTTCTTACTTCGTCAAGTACCTCCAGGGATGAGTGCCTCTCTCGGGGCCTCGAGGCCCACCAGCGAAACTAGATTTTGATACCTTTCCCGAAGGCTAAAACGGTGGGGACAGTACTCACCCCCAGAATAACAGAATAATGGAATTAGAAAGGAACTTGGGGGTCTCCTAATCCAACCCCCTGCTCAAGCAGGAGACCCTGGATCATTTCAGAAAAGTGGTTGCCTCTTCTTGAAAACCTCCAGTGATGGAGAAAGGAGGGAGGGAGGGAGGGAGGGAAGGAAGGAAGGAAGGAAGGAAGGAAGGAAGGATAGCAAAATAGAGTTGGAAGGGACCTTGGAGGTCTTGTACTCCAACCCCCTGCTCAAGCTGGAGACCCTGGATCATTTCAGAAAAGTGGTTGCCTCTTCTTGAAAACCTCCAGTGATGGAGAAAGGAGGGAGGGAGGGAGGGGGGGGGGGCAGGAAGGAAGGAAGGAAGGAAGGAAGGATAGCAAAAGAGAGTTGGAAGGGACCTTGGAGGTCTTCTACTCCAACCCCCTGCTCAACTTGGAGACCCTAGATCATTTCAGAGAAGTGGTTGTCTCTTCTTGAAAACCTCCAGTGATGGAGAAAGAAGGGAGGGAGGGAGGGAGGGAGGGAGGGAAGGAAGGAAGAATAGCAAAATAGAGTTGGAAGGGACCTTGGAGGTCTTCTACTCCAACCCCCTGCTCAACTTGGAGACCCTAGATCATTTCAGAGAAGTGGTTGTCTCTTCTTGAAAAC